TACCTTTATGTGAATCGGCTTGCTGTAATTTAATTTTTACATTTTTCGATCTTTTTCGTCGCGCTGTGATGACGTCACATACGCGCTTTCGTCGACCGCGATTTTGTCGTCCGCGGTTTTGTGGTGGAACCAAAATTTCACACCCAGAAAAGGCAGGAGAGAAGCAAAGAGGAAGAAATTGTGACCGGCGGAGCCAGTGGCTGGCTTCCTTCCACTGGAGGGTCCGCGAGAAAATTTTGGTGCTCCGCAGAAAAATTATTTGCATTTTTTTTTTTAATATTGCACTAAATCAGGGGTCCTTAAACTACGGCCCCTGAGACAGATATGTGCAATGAATGTTTGTGTTGCTGCAGAGAGTCTCCCCTTTCGGGGTCTTTTTGTGAGGGTCGGAGGGGGGCAGAAATTCCGACTTGGGGTCTGTTTCGGTGGTCTGGTGGGGGGCTTTGGGCAAAAGCTGGAGGGAAGCGTCACTGGTGGCGAAGAGCCGGAGGGCCTCGTTCCAGTGGGACTGCATCCTGGCCTGGAACTGACTAACCATCACAGCCTGCTGAGCCTCCGGGCGCCGGCACCTGGCCTTGCACTCCCGCAGGTCTTCCCTCTGCTTGGAAAGCCTAGGCTCCTAGTCCTCAGTGAGGTGCCTCTGCTGAGCCTCCTTCTCGGTCAGATCCAATTGGAACCGAGCTTTTTTGCCAACTCTTTCTCCTGCTTAGCTCCAGCAATGCTTCCTCTTGGGACCCTAAGGAGCCTGGGGCGGGCAAGCGAGGAGTGGTTGGGAGGGGCGGGGTGAGATTGAGTTGACCACACCCAGCAAGTCACATGACCACCTAGCCACGCCCACCCAGCTGGTCATTAGGCAGATCATATTAGTAGGTGCGCGGGATTTAAAATTATGAATTTGGTGGTCCCTGAGGTCCGAAAGGTTAAGGACCCCTGCCCCAAATCACCTGTAACGGAAGCTGGAGCCTTTGCTGCAGAGGAAGGGTTTGGGTTTTGACTTTGGCTCCGCGGAGAGGCGGAAGAAGGCGTGGTATTCGACGCACGTCTTCCAAAAAGCCTTGCAGGTGTCACGACTCGCCATGGCAAACTCCAGGGTATCTTTGCAGAGAGCCTGTTGGGGATGGAGAAGGAAAAGACGAAGAGTTTACTCCAGGGTTACTTGACCTTGGCAGGTAGACTTCCATTCCCAGAATTCTTCGTTTTCAATTGAGCCTACAGCCTGGAATTTCACAGTGGCCTCTCATCCATGCTCTGCTTAACTTTTCAAGATCAAGCATCCAATCTTTCTGAAAGCCGAGGCCAGGGAATAGCAAAATTAAGAGTTGGGAATGCCCTTGGAGGTCTTCTAGTCCAACCCCCTGCTCAGGCAGTAAACCCTAGACCGTTACAGACAATGGGCTATCTAATCTCTTCTTTAAAACCTCCAACTCAGGGTAGGAGGGAGGGAAGGAAGGAGGGAAGGAAGGAGGGAAGCAAGGAGGGAAGGAAGGAGGGAAGGAAGGAGG